TTTTCAACAGTTAAGTGTGAAATCCGAAAGGGTGAGGGGAAAGATTTTTGTTTAATGGAGAAGTCTGTTTGATGTATACCATTTCAATAGGAGTTGTTTTTCTATGTTTAAAGTGCAAAAAGCTTAATCGAATGTGAGATCGCTAGTTTGACATGGCATGGCTTCGGAGTTGTTACCAGTAAAAGGAAAGAAAATAGAAGTCGTGAGCCCCAAAGTATTACCGAATATATACTTCTTTCTCGGAGCTTTCAGAAGCTTATTTGCATATATCGGTCTCATAAATCCGTCCTGGCTGTCTGTTCGGTCTCGGGGTGCCATTTTTATGGCGAATGAAAGGAGTGGGTGTAGAAACAGGAGGAAACTAATCCCAAATACACCAGGCTGTCCATTACACCAGAGTACGCGTTCCTGATCAGCAACGCAGTGTCACAGTACATTGTGAATATGCGAGAGGGGTGAGGAATTTGTATAAGATTGTTACTATTGTTTAAGTACCGTTATAGTGCACGTACTTCTTCAATATTTACTAGTTGTAACTAAATATTGGTGAGTACCTTTGTTAATTGGTATTTGAAGTCTATATAATTTCATATACTCTCGTGAGTACAAACCTGAAATACTATCTGAAACAAGTATTAGATTATATTTCCCCTTAAATATGCCTAAATGCGCCTTAAACAATCAACTGTAACCAACTTCCGATGAAATTCTGATGAAAATCAGTACTGACTTCTGATGGTTGGTCGTGTCTCCTTTTCTAGTGAATGCCTCTATGAAAACCTATTTTAATAAGTGCTAGCATTTCAATGTTGAACTGTAAACCATTGATAACATCACACAGCGGACTTGTCCAACTTACTGAGTACAGCCAATCAACACGGAGTGATCATCACGTGACATGAATTTGTGCTAAAAGCGTAAAACTCGTTACTAGTGTGAAAAACCGTATTTTTGTTATCCTTCTTTATCATTGTTAAGAAAATGTAGAATGGTTTATGAGAACTATCGACCCGATCCCCGGGAATACCTTGGTTCTATTGGGATGGTTATAGAACACGAGATCTAGTTTAGAAAATCAATTGTTGGTAAGACTTCTCAATCTCTAAATTAACGAAAATTCGCCAACATTTGTCGTCCATTAGTGTTTAGCCTTCAGGCCGCCTGTTGATACTCGCCGAGTCCTCTACTCATTCCGCCTATTTCCTTTAAAACCCGTGTCACCATGTATTTTCACGGGGGAGATAGGAGAGTAATCGGTAAGGTATCAACACTATCTTGTATTACAGCGCAAAGGTTTTCATATGTACCGGAAAGAGTGACTAATGGCTTTAACTTTAGCTATTGATCTGTTCATATTTTGTAAGTTCGGCTTCTATATCCTATGATTTACTCTTTAAGAAACTTTGAGGTATAACATAAATATGAATCTGAACTTTTTAGTTGATTGATTAATTTAATGACTGACCTTTTTCAGCGGTTTTAAACGAATTGAAAATACCAGGTGTTACGTGAATTTATCGAATGATCCCCCCCCCCCCCCCCAAATTTTAATAAGAACAGGTGAAATTTTCATTATTTCAAGACATAGTTCAACAATGAGAGAATGTATTTTATATATAACAGAGCTGTGGAAATGCTGGAAAAAATATTTTCTAACATTTTCGAATCCCGAGTCGTAAAGCTGATGACATATACTTAATTGTCTACCTCCGCGGTTATTATATATAAGGGAAAGTGAACAAGATAATCCAATAATTTAATCAGGCTGTTCCTTTGCCCTTGCAACCTCGTTTTTATTTCATCAACAAGCACTACACAGCTGGTGTACTATTGTATGGACGCTGCAGTCAGGTCCTTGATTTAAACATATTTTATTTGCAAAAATACAAAAGGCATTAGACACATTACAAAGGCATTATAAAACTTGAAGTTCGCCTTCTCCCTTATCGCCACTTAACGTTCGGATATGCACATGCACGCGTTTACCCTCCTCATTCAACAAAGCGAATTCGTCCAAGACACACGGGTCATGTACTTACTATTGCAATAACGGTAGAGGCTTTTGGAAAACATCGCAAAAGACATTGCTTATTTTCGATTCTATCGCGTCAGTGATATAATGAGAAGGCCGAGAGTTTAAACTAAACTCCATGTTCTAATCGCCAGAATAGACACGAAAAACAACGTATTATCCTCATTCAAATACACCTTAACAAATATACTGCGTTAATATGTTTAGAAACATTGTTTTAACCTTAACACATACAAGTACGTAGTAAAGTACTCTGTCACATGTTCTGGTGACGTGTCATTCTGCAGCGGACTGACCAATCAGAAAGCATATTTCAAAAGTCGGTCATTTGGCACCACCCATTATGGCGAGCGCTCGATCTGTATGTTGACAAGGCGGAATATTTTGATTGTTAGTGAACGTCCTGTTACCAAAATTTATGCGACACATTTGGATTAACATTGACCAAATTCTTACACTTCTATGTCAGTATGCATGCCAATCTGAGCGTATCGACAAAATCGGTGATTATTTGTTTAGATCTGTGAAGAGTTTTGTGCGTACGACACATTTTAAATGTTTCGTTTTATTTCGGATCTAACTAGATGCCTACACATGGATGGAACGAATATTTCAATAACAAAAGGAGGTAAGAACAAGTAATATTTATTATTTATTTTGAATTTATTTTATAAATGCATTTCATCGGTACTTTCTGTTCTGTTGCCTGCTAGCCTTATCATCGGATTTCGCTAAGAGAAACGCAAACGAATTGTGTGATAGTGATCAATAATACAAGAGCGTGTAGGTATTTTTCAAACAAACCATGAACTTGCAACGCTCTCGAAATCCTCCCCCATATTGCAAATATAAACAATACTTTTGCGAATTGTCTTTGAAGAACTAGCTTTGTCAATAGAGGCTACATACGTGCATGTATATATAAACCGTTACCTCATACACTCAGGTGGTATATCATGATATCCGGCTAAATGTCCAGAAATTATTTCAACAGCTGTGACATCGACTTGTTTGTGAAATTAAAACGAGGCATCACGTGACAAATATTGCAAGCGCAAAAGAACACCTAAATGAATTAATTGAATGATCTAGGTCACAACATGTTACAGGCATTGAAATAGACACGAAAGGACACTCAATTACATCTTTTTTTGAATTGAAGACAAAAGCAATATAATTAAGACATTTGCCCCGAGCAAAGTGAAAAAAACAGCCCTCTGGATTGACGGTTCAAATAACAAGTGTTTGAATGAAGTAAACGAGACTGCGTAGGAATAGATGACTATCAAACACTTTTTGAAGGCTAACGTTAGGATTGTTTATAAATTATTTTCTTGAAATCAAATATTACTCTGAAAAATAACCCTCTAACTGTCCAAATGAGTATTTATCACATATTTCAATGTAAAAGCAATATCCTAGTTTTGCCATCAATAATTGATTATGCTATTAAACAGTCGGAAATATAAACGTTAATAATAATAATAATAATATAATATACAGCATTTGATAAAGCGCCCAATCTAGCTAGAATAAGCCACTCTAAAGCGCTTTACAGTACATAAACGATACATACATAAAGCATACATTTATACATTAATTAAAACAATTTTGAGGAATTCGCAGGATCTGTCTTTTCAGGTGCTAACTACTAGTCTTGTACCACCTGGCTAATATCACCCTATGTGTGTGCGGGAGATGTATTGTATTGAAATGTCCGTTTTATTTAGTTAGGTGCAAAACATCGAACGCTATAATATGTTCTTATATATATCATTATAATATATGACTAGCAATACACACGACGAATGTCTTTATCAATAACACACATATATATATACCGTAGGGAGACCCTACATATATATAAACACCGTAGGGAGACCCTACATATATATATACCGTAGGGAGACCCTACATATATATAAACACCGTAGGGAGACCCCAGCTCGGGTGGTGTGTACAGGTATGCATATCACAGAACCCCGGTGTAATCCCCTTTTTACACAGGAATTGGGCCATCAGCTGTCGGCTTACACCCATAAACGTCACAGAAACCAAGCTTCTACGTAAATCCTTTTTACTATTGACAGATGTAATCCCCCTTTAAATCTTCCTCATCTTTGTTGAATTTTCCCGAAAGTTTTTCAAATTTTGTTTGTCATGCGCTTTTCCTGAGAATGATATCAATAGTTTGCTTTTCAATTATTAACAATTTGACCAGTGAGCAATATCACTTAAAGGGACGCGTTTTTGGGAGACTGGCATAAAGTGTGAGAGTCTAACAACATGCTACATGTTTAATCCTCGACATTCGTACTAATGGAATGTATTGATACAAGAAATCTACACGTGGTCACTACGACCCTCTGGTTAAGTTACATAACCGGTATGATAGCCTGGCACTACTAAAAGTATGTATCCCCTGATACACTCAAGCGACTCCCAATGGCCCATATGTTGATAAGGAATGGCAGAACAGATTAAACCTGTACTTTCGATGTTAATTAATACAATGCTATATGATTTGCCGTATATAGAACGCACCAGATGTATCTGACAAGAGCGGGCATAGTAACAGTGGGTAGGAACCTTGCGTCACTGATAGCCTCAAAGTTAGCAAATCATTGATCAATTAGGCTGTTAAAGGTTGTATATTTGCTAGTAGTTTGGACCTGAATCCCACGGGGGATTGTATTTCGGGAGAAAGCCGATAACTCGAACATATCATTTGTCAATTACAACTGTTTCCGATTGTCATCACCGCCGACATACTGTGTGTATGTAAACAAGTGAACAACCAACACCAACAGCACGCCCATTCCAAGTAATGCTTTATAACATTGACAGTTACATAGATGATAGGAGAACAATAGTAGTAGTCAGATAACACAGATTACCATGTGTTTACGGAGATCAATCTGCAGTGCTGGCTACCCTTTGTTAACAGTCGTAAGGTTTCAACGTTATAAGAGCGATAACTACACGAAACAAGTGTTTTCCAGGTAGCAACGGTGTGTACTGCAAGCCCCTGCCCTGCCGCAGCTAATGTTGAGGGTGTGACCATCACAGCGACATCGATCTGTCATTAACCTTCAATTGGAAGACAACTGTACAGCGCGTGGAGTTGAGAGGTCAGGTCCACTGATCCGAGCACAGCCACTGACGTAGCATCTGGGACCGGCCAATTGGGAAGGAGGCTTGGTAACGGTGACAGAGCACCTACGCTTTCTACAGCACTACATAAAAATGAAACTTGGACGACGAAGTGCGATTTTCCTGAGTAAGACATATAGGTGGTCTCTCGGGTGTGATGTTTTGATCCGTGAACAGTGTTCAGTTGAAGATACCACTGTTGCTTCGTTGCTCAAATAGGACCATGAAGGTACCCCTTCCTCTGTTTGCTTATTGCCTTGTTCAAGTATTTGCCTATGTTTCTCACGCTGCTAGATCGTCGGCTCTTAACGACACACACATTCTACTCTCTAAAACTTTATCTTCCATTAATTCGGCTGTGAAGTTTTTCAACAAAGAACATCGAAATGTCAACTTGGACACCATTATTGGAACACGGATACTTGAAGGTAAGCGCTGTAATTTACCTTTTGCCCTTATATTTGGAAACTTATCAATGAAACTCATGCCAGATAAAATGACAGAAATTAAAAAAGAAATGATAATTATACTATAATAATTAAAAGAAAGAGAAGTAATTTTACTCATCATCTAAGAATACAGGAATATCGCAACTTGATATAATACTACACTTAAATATGGTGTTGTATCGCGATAACAGTATTTTATGTAGAATATGTCAGCTTGATATGTTGTGAATTCATCCACTCTCTTTCCCTGTTTCTCGAACCATACTCGGACTGATATTATTAATCTTTTATTACAAACACAAATTTATATTTATGTTTCTATTTGTAAAAGTACAATGACACTGAGCATGGTTTTAACCATGCATATAGAAGTTTCATTTAAACTGTTCAAGATTTCGTTATATTATCTTTGTTAGATAGAATTTTGGCGATAATGTTTACATTCATACACGAGCAAATAGTAAACTATGGTTTTGATTTGCAATACTTTTTTTTTTTTTTTTATTAAAACTGATTTTATTGATTATGAAGTAAAACTAATTCAATTTTATACAATCGTCGCCATGGTAACGTGTTATATCAATTAGATAAAAGTTGACTTAAAAGGTTTCAAAACGATTTCTGAAATAATAAAGAAAGGCCCGACCAATTAAATTATCAAAATTGAATATACACGTTATGATATACGTTTAAAATTCAAATAAACCTATAACTGAACACCGAACGCTGAACAATCACTAATACTGGTGAAAACAGGCAAACTCGCGATAAATGGTGAAATCTAGGTTCAGACTTCTTCGCCTTCCCAAAGAAGCTTTACACGACCCTACTCATATAAAACTTGGATCCTTTTTACAAGACTCGACACTGATTTGCATTTTGACGACGAAATGTTACCGTTCCTACAGTAGTGACAATATGTACACAAAAGGGCAAACGGATGTGTTCCGGCGCCTTTATATGCTCCTGGAGACTAACCTAACTGTAATGTTCCAAAACATCATCCGCTTTCCCGAAGACGTTACTTTTAATTAAGCATTAGGCAAATATTGTGAATTTTCCGTGAACAGATAAGCTTTTCGTATGCCTCTCCTTCAAACGATCGGTTCTTCTGAGACCTTCAATTACACGAGTAAGACGATAGCTAGTGAACCAGGCTCACCCCGTCTGTAGAGGCAACCCACCGAACCAAGTAAACCCCATCGCAGTAAAGCACTTATCGAGAGAAAGCCTTATGTGGATGGTGCAGTAGATACAGGATTGCCCTGAGTGAGAAGCAGTGGGATAGCGTGAGGACCGAGTCATGCTGTCAGGTCGTTCCGTGGGCCTATATGACTGAATGTGGGACGGCAACAACACTCCCTCGCAGGCACTTACATTAAATATGTGTAGATTGTCGATTTCGTTCTTCTTATTTTCTACAAAATGAATTTATCTCCTCAATAAAATAACAAGTAAATGCGTCGCTGCTCTATTATTGCCTTTGCCCAATTAATGCAAAACATCTTTTCAGCGTTCAAAGCAATGTGCAAATATATACCATGATAAAGAAAATTTCATTATGTAAAATAATTAACATTAAGTTTGTTTCAGTACTTTAGGCACTCACAGAAGGAGGCGTGAATGTTTAAGCATAACAAATTGTTTCGTTCAAGCATATTCTACGAAACAGAATATTTCCTGCATATACTTTTATTTTTGTAGGGTGTGTTTCAGCCTTTGAGGTAGAAACGGACCTTATAGAGGTTTGCTAAAAATGAACAACAAAACAAATGTTTCTATATTACAATAGTTTTATAAGTTTTGGTTGTATTTATCTAATTTAAATTTGTTGGGACATTTGTCAATTTTTTTTATTTTTTTTTAAATATTTTGTCAATTTAGACAAACCGTTCAAACCGATATACCTTTCGTGCTCATTTTCATGTCTATTTGGGAGGAAGCCAATTGATTCTTCTAATACGAATTTGGTGTCGGTCGTAAGTGTCGACCAAAACGGAAAACTCAGTGTCTGTTTACTTATTTTACCATTTATGACCATTTATTTATTACCAGTAAATAAGCCAAAGGAAAACTTCACTTAACTATAATCATACTTCAATACTTTTGGCTCTCCCAGAAGTGGGAGTGAGCGTGAGACTTTGTCAGTCCGTACAAATCGTGCCACAGCGCGTGCGGCATGCTGACACGTTCATCACATCCGTCACGTTGAACAGCCATGATACACACATTCGGAATGACCAGGTAAAAATAATTTTGTTCTTAAAAGCCGACCTTAGATTAATTGTTCCCACATGTCCTCTTCATAAAGAATATTAAAATCAAACAGCGTTAAACCTAACAAACTATTGATCAATACAAGCGGTATGAACGCGGTCCATGGGGGTCCAATATTACGTGATATTATCGTCATTAATATCGCCCCCTTTCAAGTCCGTTTTAATACATTTAAAGCGCATGTTCGTCATGTCACGACGCATTTGGACATATATTTGATGCTAGTTTATATATCATACCATCTGATCGGTCTTTTATCAACTACATGTATGCCAATCAGAGACAAGGTGCTATCTCAAAGGTTATTGTGTTGTCGTCGGTCGTGATGGAAAGGGTACTTAGTGTTATTCTAGGCTGCTATTGTGCCCCATGTGTGCTACGAGAGAGGTACGCGTCATTTCTAGTAGGGCAGGTAATGATTGCTTACATCTTTGCTGCCCATCTACTCATAATTATGATCGTTTTCTCGATTGACCAACGAAGAGACTTCTATATTGTATGTATTCATTAATATGCCAGCGTATCATGGACAAATACAATTGCCTTTTTACCTAGTCCATAATTCTACAAACAAAGTCTTTCCACGTTGGAAATGAAAAACAAGTAAGCGAGAAGGGTCAAATATCTAATATTTTGACATTGGTGCAGATCAACATGACTTTCGTTTGTTTAGTAACTGCTGTAATTATTAACAGGTATCAAATAAGTTCGTACGACGAGGGAGTAACCACGTTCTTCTGAAAGGGATAATCAAAATAATTTATTTTTCTTAATCAAAGTTTCCCACTCGAAATAAAGCCTGGTGCTAAACTTCAAAGTTCTAGCCCTCAGAGGTGTTGCATTAAGCAAGTATTCCCCCCCCCCTCCCCCCTTAGAATAAGATCCGCTCCCAACATAGTTATTCTAATCATTTCACCACTTAACAATAGGATCACGTCATCAATGTTTACAGAAAAATCATATCACAATTGAATCGGGTCAATAAATTTTGTCACACATTTCATGCGCCATTAATGATGGATCGGTGCGTTGGCTTCCCTGTTACAACTTAACGTATTTTTTTCCGTAATAGGAAGGTGTAGGGAAGTAATCAATCACTTCTGGGATAATAACATTGAAGTTTTAACCTCAGAAATATTATCCTCGGGTGGCAGTTTCTCTGTTAACATCTTACAGAAGTGATAGATTGGTTTTGTCTTACAGCACATATACTGTAATGCAGACGGTAGACTCGCTTACCTAAAAAATAAGAGTGTTCGAGCAAACACCGGCTGTCTTGAAAACTGAATCTTCACTTATTAACTCGGAGGCACATTTTTGTTTTCCAAATAAACACGATCTAGTGAAACTGCATGATGATTGAACGAGCGATAGTGTTTGTCATACTAGTGTAGTTAAATATTTTCTCCTTAAGCAATGCTATTTATTATAGATATGCACCCGTTTTTATTAAACGAGAAGTTATTCCCGTCTTCGTAAATGGAGCCAGTCCACACAATTTAAACAAGGTATCAAGTAACGGTCGTGCAATGATGACGCGTGCGGAGCAAGTGTTGGTAATAATTTAAGTAAGGATCCTATATGGTACAAGAGAAGTTGACCTTTACAAGTCTAAAGGAATATAGCTTTTTCAAATTCACTTGCATTCGTTTGCCAATTATATAACGAAATAATGTTTACTTTGGAGGCACCTATTTTGCTAACTTAATTGAATATAGCAAGTCGCTTCGATATGTTAGAATGTTATTATTTTAGAATGCCATATTTTGGTTACATTATTGCGAAATGTTTTTGGTAAAATAACATGTCCTTTTCGACAGCGTTTGCAAACCAGACAAACTGAAACCTCCGTCTTATTTAGGTCACTTGGCAGTATCAGCAGTGTCCTGCTGCGATGTGGTACATGGTAAACGTGCAGCCATTGATACTGAAAAACAGCGAGCTCACATGACAATTACTTCTACTTTTTACGCATTGCGGTACAACATAACAAAAGCTATTCAACCCCACGGATTTAAGCACATTGCAACATTCAGGCATTACTTCTCATTCCCGAATACATTTGTTAAATCAAAAATCAGTTTCAAATATCGATACGGAACCTTGTAAAATAACACATGTTGTACATTGATTGGGACTTGTTGCCTGTTTCCCACATACCAAATTGACTAATTGACCGAAAATGTGTTCTGCAGATTTGTTTTTTCCTTTTACGGCACGGTGGCGTTGTTAATCATCCCTCGACGTCGTTTTGTCCAACACTGATGTTGAGTTGGAGAATTGCAACATGCCTGTACAGACAATGTTTATGTATTTATGATAATTTCATACCCATAAAGGTCTTATCAGACCTAGCTAGAAGATGTTGCACCCTGCTGGATGTGTTCCTACCCACATAACGATACCGCCCTCTTATCCTCGATTAAACATAGAAAACCGTGCGGTGTATTGTTTTTGACCTTAGAAGCGTTTTATTGTTCCTTCAAATACCTTCGAAAGGGTTTTGGGAAATACAATCACGGACAACGTCTTTTTGATTATCAAACAATATCCGGAATTTCCACCTTACACCCTGGTCAATGATGGTCCAGGTCAGGTGAAGACGTATGGCTACAGTTAGTCACGTGATGCTGTAGCATTTAAACATATCATGAATTTCTGGAATGTCATTTCTCAAAAATTCTAAAATTGACTCCGAGTTATTTAAAATGTCATTTGATTTCAACACCTGGCAAAGCACACCAGATCTCGTTTTATTATCGCTATTGCTGCCTCTGGTCGAACTACGATGAACATGTTGACAGCTCTGGGAGTTCACCAGCTGCAAACTGCAGGAACTCGGTAGCAAGGCTTATTGCCGGTGAAGCAGTGATATTGTATACTGCTCATAGCCTTCCACAAATCAGCGGTTATTGTCGAAATTTATAAGGCAACAGTTAATTGAAAATGAAAATACTATTTTATTGTTCGATTATAAATTCTTCTATTACTCTCGCGGGGAAAATTATCAGAATTCAATTATTCGTTTAATTTCATTGTTTCTGAACACAACTTTTTCTCAAGCGAATTTCTTGCAAAAATCGGATCATTTAATCAAATGTGATACCGTGTATTATTGTAATCCACCGGTCATATTGACAATATTTTATTACTTATATAATAACTTGTATTCCAACAGCGCATAAAGCGGAGCAGTATTACGATATTACTTAACTTTTGGATTTAAAAGGATAAAGAATAAGGATGGAATATCATGACATGCTACACTTTTCCTCATCAAGAAATATACAAAACCATATTTTTGTTCCGAACACGTAATTCAAAGCAGGTAAACAATAATTGATTGAGTGGTCTAGAGACAACAAAATTATTAAAAATAGTTATTTCAGACCGAAAATCATCGCTATTTGGAAGTCTACTGGCTACAAACCAAACCAAAAATAATTATTTGGGAAGTTTTGAGACAGAAAAAAACAATAGTTATTTGAGAAGTCTACAAATAAACAAAAGTTATTTGGGAAATCTAGATACAGCAGGTAAACAATATTTATTTCAGAGGGAATGAGACCTCAAACAAGAACAGCAATAGTTATTTGAAATGTCGTACACATTGTACAGTAGCTTAGACCGACGTTACTTGTTTGGAAAGTCTAGAACATTACAACAGGCTAATAATATCATTTACAAGGTCTTAAGACTATAAAACAGGCCTAGTTATTTGAGAGGTTTATATTCAGTAAATCAGACCAACAACATTTATTCTAGAGGTAAAAAATTCAAACTAACAATGCTTGGCCTAGAGGATTTTAAAGCAAACGGCAATGTTTACCTCGAAGTCAACAAATTAAAACTGAATTAAATGTTGAAAAATAAAGTAGTTGCTGTCATGACGGTTTATTTACCCGATTCACCAATATCAGATTCTGAATCAGGTTTTTCTTTTTGTCTCAACGGTGGATTATTCTAAACTTTCTCTTATGGGAACGCCTTTTACTTTTACTAAAATATGTGTCTTTTAATAAAGTTACATGTATCTTGTATCTTGTATGATATAAATGTATTATTATTTGAACAATATACTGTACGTAAGTTAGTGTCTCGTTTGAAGGTCATTGCGGTGTTCCTTGTTGATATGAAGTTTCACACGTTCGGCCTAATACTGGGAAAATAATATTTCCACAGTGCTTATGCATTTTTACAATTAAATTTTAATGTTATACACGGAACAAATTGATTCACCTAGAGCTGAAAACTACAGCGTCATGGCATAATGGAATACACACCATCAGTTTTAGTGAGAGTATTGTCAGAGTCATCATGTTAAGTATATCGGATTTTACAGCGATATCAAAGCTTCGTTTCGCCTACATCAATTAATTATTTTGATATGCTTTTTAATTCATTCTGTTATATAGATTTAAACGTCCTCGGTTGGATTATAGCCTTGTTATTTTCCCCCACAGGTCAGTTCAAAGTTCTCCTGGATATGATACACCGGTCTCCCGGGGAATGGCAGGTGGATAGTCAAACTCTGATGCAGATAGAGCGATTACAACGGACAGCTGGCAAGATCAGCGACAAAGCCATCCCCTTCATTGCAACGATCACACCGCAATATTTCTATAGTAAGTATATTGATTTTTTTTGTATCGTAATCACACACGTCATTTTATAGTAGGTATAACACAATATTCCCATATAGAGTAAGTACTGTAAGTATTTTTTCAGCAAGAATAATATACAATTTATATATTAACTATATACAACATTTTTTCAAAGTATAATGCAATAATTCTACTGTTGATAGCATAGAAATTATGTTGTGATTCCACATTGTATTTTAAGTACATTATATACTTGTGTACAAATATAAAAGAGGACAATTTCGCAGTGTGGAAATGTTTGCGTTTTCCGCGTTGAGTAAATAAATGCGAAAATATTCGCGCTAAAATATTTACTCATATCTTATATAGGTTATAGATACATAGAATATATAGATTTCAGAACCATTGTCAACGCGAATATTTCCACACCGCGATCAGTTTAAATGGTCACAACGCAAATATTTCCAAACCGCGATCAGTTTAAAGGGTCACAATGTAAACATTTCCACACTGCGATCAGTTTCAATGGTCACAACGCAAATATTTCCAAACCGCGATCAGTATAAAGGGTCACAATGTAAATATTTCCACACTGCGATCAGTTTCAATGGTCACAACGCAAATATTTCCATCTGCGATCAGTTTAAAGGGTCACAATGTAAATATTTACACACTGCGATCAGTTTAAATGGTCACAACGCAAATATTTCCAAACCGCGATCAGTTTAAAGGATCACAACGCAAATATTTCCAAACCGCGATCAGTATAAAGGGTCACAACGCAAATATTTCCAAACCGCGATCAGTTTAAAGGATCACAACGCAAACATGTTCACACCGTGATCAGTATAAAGGGTCACGACGCGAACATTTCCACATAGTATTTCTTTACGAAATATGTACAGTATGAAAGCTTGTATAGTAAATGATATTATTATTTTATTTCATTTCATTTCAATGATGATGATGATGATGATGATGATGATGTTTCTGTAGTAAATGTGTACTGTACACATTCATTTAACAATGGAAATATCTATTACTTAGATGTAATGTTCTATGGTTAAGGTATATCATAGTATATACGAATTATATATTAAATATTTTTACATAATATACCACAATTAACTAATATTTTTCAAGATAAATTGCTGTTTGCGATCCTTATTCTCCGCCACCATCTCTGCAAAATAAGTTTATTACTACCAGGAAACTCCCTTCAGTATTTGTGGAGTGTTCCTGTTATGTTCGCAGTATATATTGTCATCTTCCACTTTGTAGTAAGTAGTCTCCTGGCCATGCTACTCGTACAGAGGTATAACACTGGGTATAATCAGTGACACCAATCTAGGCCGCCATTGTTGCCTATTGTAACATAATAAAGTGAAGCATTTTAATTATTAATATATCTAACCCAGGGGACATTGCTGGCGGTCGGTACTGTCCTTTAGAGTTGGTACGAGAGTCATAGAATTAAGATGACCTATATATACAGTACAGTAAAGAGTTACACCGGTAGTCTTTGTACTAGAGGCACGACCAGGGATGGTAATAGGCATTTGTATCATTTTACAAACACCTTGATTAAGTTAGAAATTATCAAAATGTTGATAGGTTCTCCCTTAAAGTCTGTTTTGAATTCCCATCACCAGTTTTTTTCAAATGCATATTAAACAACGAAAACGACGACAAAAATGTATAAGACAATTCAGTTATCTGTGCATTCTAGGTCAAGCAACTATTTCTTTTTCAAAATGACAAACGTCTAAACCCTGGTCTTTGATTCTGCTATCGTTTAGCGACATTGGCTGTTACGGTCTTAAATTAACTTTAATGGATAAGGGATAACTGTGAGGGTTTAATTTGACTATAATGGATAACTGTGAGGGTTTTATAATGACTGTTAGGGATAACTGTTAGGGTTAAGCATTGACTGTTAGAGATAACTATAATGATTTCACATCGACTGTAAGGTATAACTGTGAGGGTTTAACATTGACCGTAAGGTATAACTGTAAGGGGTTAACATTGACTGTAAGGTATAACTGGAAGGGTTTAACATTGACTTTAAGGGATAACTGTGAGGGTTTTATATGACTGTTAGGGATAACTGTGAGGGGTTAACATTGACTGTTAGGGTTAGCTGTGAGGGTTTAAAATTGACTGTAAGGGATACCTGTGAGGGTTTACCATTGACTGTAAGGTATAACTTTAAAGGTTTAACATTGACTTTAAGGGATAACTGTGAGGGTTTAGCGTTGACTGTTAGGGATAGCTGGGAGAGTTAAACATTGACTGTAAGGTATAACTGTAAGGGTTTAACATTGACTGTAAGGGATAGCTGTGAGGGTTTAACATTGACTGTTAGGGATAGCTGTGAGGGTTTAACATTGACTGTTAGGGATAGCTGTGAGGTTTTAACATTGACTGTTAGGGATAACTGTAAGGGTTTAACATTGACTCTTAGGGATAACTGTGAGGGTTTAACATTGACTGTAAGGTATAACTGTGAGGGTTTAACATTGACTGTAAGGTATAACTGTGAGGGTTTAACATTGACTGTTCGGGATAGCTGTGAGGTTTTAACATTGACTGTTAGGGATAACTGTGAGGGTTTAACATTGACTGTTAGGGATAACTGTGATGGTTTAACATTGACTGTTAGAGATAACTATAAGGATGTCACATTGACTGTGAGGGATAGCTATAAGGATGTCACATTGACTGTGAGGGATACATGTAACTGATATGATTTTGCGTGTGTGTATGTACGCTGTATGTATGAGACAGGCTATGTTGATGTATTTGCCACCATGTGAAAGCGATAAACTTATACTGGCGTTATAGTGCTATCTTACTGAAATACCTTGCCATCTCATCACAGTATTCAATCCGGTCACATTATACTGACAACGAGTGAACCGGTTGGTGCCATTACCCTTAATGCCGAACGTTAAGCAGGTAATAACACCCACCATTTAAAGGACTTTGGTATGTCCTGGCCTATAAGTATCCATGTCTTCCTCACCTGGGCGAACGGTCAACAGTAAACACAAAAGAAACAAAAGGTAATTAGAAGTAGAGAGAAGTATAAAGACCCTAAATGTTGCAATGGATGCAGAGAAGATTTTTTTTGGTAGCTTGACACAAAAGCAAATTCACAATTCTGCAGGGGGTTTCCTCATTTGTCGCCTCTTCCGATACATGCCGTGGGTATAGTGAGCGTATTCTGTTCTCGATTCCCGGCCTGCAGGGGTGTGACTATAAGGGATAACTGTTCGAATTTAACATTGACCATAGCAGTTTACAGTACAAGGAATAAATATTGACGTGTGATTGTTTGATTGATTGTCAGAAACAGATTTCGCAAATATGTGAATGCATGAACGTTTTATGAGCTTCAATAATGGGTTTCCTGTCCGACTCGTAGCGAGAGAAATACCTCAGTTAAGCCGTATCCAATACATGAACACATAATTAGTGTTCAAAAATAACTAGAATGGGTCCAGCGGAAACATTCATATCTAGATTGTAGCTGATAGGTAACAGTTTCGCTTCGACGTAATAATACAGCTCTGCATTAGACATGTGAGAACAGAACTCGACATTTGTGTTGACGGGTAGGTATGTCCGGGTATAGTTGTCATTACTGTTGCATTATTGAGAGGTGAACTTTGTTTTGAGGAACAGGCTATCGCCTCAGCCTCATCCTCTCCAAGTTTGTCAGTCCTACTCATCTACCATGGACGAACGGCTGTCGCATCGTTAGGGGAGAAACCATTTTGTGGCTACGGCATTTTTCTGTTGTGTATAATGCGTACATATAATGTGACGGGGTGTCTTAGGCACTTTTCTCTTGTCTGCCGATCGTACTTTCCTTGTATTCTTTTATACCTGGACAAGGGGTAATTGTCTGGCACAAATTAGATATCGCCGATGTTCCCCCCAAGGGTTGACAACAGCCTAGTTCCGGGTCGGTTGTTTAGATTGAAGCGAGTATCGTTCGTGCCCCGATGCCAAGATGATACGTCAAATGACAGTACGATACCGCCCCGGCGCCAAGATATGACACTACGTAATCGGCTAGTTCGTGAAGTGCATAGGTAAAACTAGGGAGGCTCAATGTTACAGTTTGGAAGAAACATTGCCACACTTACTGAAACTCATTGCCCAAGATATGGACACTCATAATCACAGTAGAAACATGTATACACCGCAATACTATTTTGTGGACATTTTAATACTTGCACGGAAATAGAAGTACTGGCTACAATAAAATAATGTTCTATATTAGTAACGAGGTTAAGGCGTTCGCGGTAAGGTTATCGAAATGAGTGTGTTGGTAACGAGGTTAGGTTTTATGATACTAACTAATATCAAGGCTGGAGGTAAAATATCGGTGACGAGGTCAGTTTGAATGATACTTATAACAAGGCTCGAGTGTACGATTCTGACAACAAGCTAAGGGTGTACGATACTGATAACGAGGCTAGGATTACGATACTTTTAACGAGATAAGAAAGGTTTGATACTAGCAATGAGGTTAGGATATACAATACTGGTAATGCGGTCTGAAAGTGCAATGTTGGTAACGAGATAAGAGGGTTGTCGGGTGTCGCATTGGATAGCGAACTTGTCTTTCACCAAGGCGGTCGGGGTTCGATTCCTCGATAGGACGTGAAGTGGTTTTGGGTCACCTGCCAGACCACATTGGTTTTCTCCGGGTACTCCGGTTTCCTTCCACATTAAGACCCCCACCCTTCTCGCGCTAACATCCGGGCCAACAAGAGTGATTAATAAAAGTTGAAATAATTTCATTCATAGTTGTTGTTATGTAGATAAAGTTTACGTTAACGAGGTAAGCATGTACGATATTGGTAACGAGGTCGGGACGTTTGACACTGATAACAAGGTTAGGATTACCCTACCCTAGTCGTGATTTGGGTGTACAGTACCGGAGGTGAAGTTGTTGTGACGATAATGGAACGAGGTTTGGGATGTAAGATAATGAAACAGTGACGTTGGGAGGTTAGGACTTACAATAATGGTAACGAGGTTTGGGCCTGGGATGCTGGTAACGGGGAATAGAGAATATAGACTACATTACATTGGTTTTAGTGAGGGTAAAGGTGTTGCTGTCACATCATTGATCACGGTCGATCACCCGATCTCTCACTTTACTAGGCACACAATCTGTTTACAGAGAACAACTCGCTAATCATCGGCTCGATATCGGAAGGCTTCCAAATTAGTCGAGGCCGAGAGGTGTTTTGTTAAAGGCAATAATACAGCGATGAATGGAACGATAAATTAACCGGAAGTTCATTCGTATTGGGTACCCATTATCTAAATATGTTATATTCTGTAAGTTCCGGTACATTCAAACATTGTTTTCCGGTTAACGAATTGTAGCGCGTATAGGAGAGAGCGATTTACGAGAGGAGTTAAGACTTCTGTGAGGTCAGCCGCTAGTCTACAACCAGCGGTACAAAGGAGCTACTTAGCCAAACGATAATGACGAAAGCCGATACGGAGTCGTGAGCTGTGTAAATATGGTGAATGCTCAATTTCACTCAGAACATCCCATTACACGAAACACAAATCTAGTCCAAATAATATGTATTTTATAAAATATCCTACGTATTTTGAAATTAGTCGTTACACGATTCATATGATAAAAATATGAACTTTAAATTTTACATAAATAAACGATTTTAATTAGATGACGTAGTTATCTGACGCTTACAATTCAGTGCTATTAAACTGCATCAACCACTCGTTTATTGATATTCACCTCTTCATATGTCCCGTACGTCATTTAGTCTGTGTATTTGTACTGCAAAGGCAACTCAACACTAAAACGGGAACAAAACGCCCGCCTCATGAAAAGGTCAAACTCTTCAATTAATTATTTAGCAGGGGTAGTGTATTATCCGGGCGTTCTTGAGTTTCGATATAATAGGCATGATGTGAAGGCGGGATAATTGTCTCTCGGTACCAACCAGGTTACTGACTGTCAGCGTTAGTTAGTAAAGTTATGCGGGTATCAATGAGGCACGGGACAAACTACGGAGCTAAATACAGAGCGTTTGTCTTTACACGAACAATGTCAATGATATCTCGTATTCAAATAAATCATCAATAAAACAAATATTGTTCTCTCTGGGTTTTATTCTGGTCATATCATCACATGCCTCTGACAATCATCAAAACCCACTTGAAACTTTTTTTAATAATTTCGTTTCTATTTCGTCTGCTATATAAGAACATGCTATATGTTTTGTACCACGTTAATAATTGTAGTTATAATTATATGTCGCCTCTGCATTAATATTACATGCATGGGGTTCAAAGTCCGCACAACAGTTAAAGTAATATGGAGACAGGTACCTGGGGAGACACGTTTGAACAGAATGAAGAAGCAGGGAAGTGAGATAAACGTAAAGTTCCAAAGCTTGCAATGGGGGCAGCTGATCATGCAGAAGATACGGAAGGAACCCCCCGAGTTTGCTGGGATCCTTGTATTAGGCGCCTCTTATGTACACTTTCCCTGAATATTGCTATGGTATCATAGCTAGTTCACTAGAAAACGACCCGGCGAATCCTATTGCGATGAATCATATGATGAAAAAAATATGTTTCAGTAAAGATAGCCTGATAGTAAGGAAACTTTTGGAGTCACCGAAGTGTGTTATCTTGGTTATTTCAACAGGTCGGTCTCTAGGATAGCTGACTAAGATGTTACCACTCCAAACATGCATTTATTCTGAGATGTGAATTGTCTACGAATCATCTGTGATCAGAATTAGATTGGTGTAGAACTGCTAACTGCTACTTTCTTAGAAATAGTGGTAAATGCGCAATACATCGCATCCTCAATATTCCAAGGTTTATGTTCATTTTCGCTCTCTGCACCCCTGGGATATGTCGTAGCAAAGTTGAAGGCTCAGTGTGCACCACCTTGTGGATGAGACGAGAAGACTAGTTTGATCCTTTGATGTACAAAGGAATCTCGCGGTCACGTAACGGTACAAATTGTCTGGCTTAAGAGTCGGGTGTCGCTCATCTGAAATTTCAAAAGGGCAGGTATCGGCCTGACGATTGGTCAGTTTTTTTTAACCTGAGACCAATCAAATAGCTAGCTGCGTACCTTCAATTTTGCTATGACATATTCCAGGGGTGATGAGAGCAAAAGTTAACGTAACCCCTGGAATATCGAGGATGAATACACCGCCGCCGTGAGGAAACATGACAAAATATGTATTTATGATATTCAATCAACCATTTACAAATATAAGACTGATGTGATATTTTCTCAAGTGTATGGTAGCTTGAAATTGAAACTGTTTTGATATCTGTAAAATACAAGGCATATTTTGATTTCAGAGATTGGTATGATGCTCCAGAAGGGATTCTGGGAACTAGACTACAACAGTAAGAGTTTTGATGACAGTATGACACTGTGGCCGTACCAGGCAGGCGAGGCTCTACACGAGGAGGATTCGGATAATTGTATAGCGGAATTCTTCGGCACGGGGTGAGTTGGTGAAATTCGGCACAGGTTGAGTGGTTGTGTTTCGGCATTTGGAGGGTGAAAGAGCATCTGCTAGGATTGAGTGAGTAGGTTTCGGCAATGCTGAAATCGACACACTTTTGGCACTGAGTGAGCTGATTAGCTAAGGCATGCGGTGAGTGGGTGAACTTCGGCATGTGCTTCGTCTCGGTGTGAGAGATAAACTTCATCACTGGATGAGTGGGTGAAATTTTGTACAGGATGAATTGGCGAGCTTCGGCACGGAGTTAGTAAATGGGTATATGATCACCGAGCTTTAATGGGCATTTTTAAGCAACCGACATGGGATACATGAACGCGGTTAGATCAGGTTAGCATAGAGACAGATGGTCAAGTGAACAGGGCTCGATGTCTAAAGCGACACGTTCCCTGATACAAACCCATATTTAATAAAAGGTCTTGGTTTTTGGGGACACAGTCGCGTTTGCATACTTCAGATGAGATGGGGTACAGATCTATCGTTTTATATCCTACTCACGTAATAGTCGGCAGATTCGTTATATCAATCATCTTCTGTACACCTTTACTGTGGATTCCAAGTTCCAACAGAATAAAAAGCTCTAAAAGATACACATGTCGGATAATGAAACGACTACACAGCAACAGAGCTGTCCACTTCAGACCGCTTGGCAACCAAAGATTTATTCACCTTTTATTTCAAATTTGATCTTATCGAAATGAAACATTCTTGTTGAGTATATGTAGAGTGTGTGTTGGGGAATTGTTGTGCACAAATAAAAGAAAAACCCATATATTTACAAAGACAAATCTTTATGTATTTTAGGAATTTGAATGAAGATCAATGTCAGAACTTTGACTGTGATTTTGATATTCATTTGCATGAACAATCCACAGGCTAAACGTCAAAACCCAATATATCTTAAATCCCGTTTTTCGTGTGTTTTTTTATAGTTATGTAAACCCTAATCGCTTTAGAATTATGTATATAACGTGCACGAAATTAAAAGTTCGTTTATTATGAAATATCCGCATATTTTCTTCCGTAAAAAAATGTCATTACGAAGTGTCATATTTGATATAAAAAGAATAGTTGGAACATTTTGCTTTAATGCACAGTTGTATGATTATTTTCACATTCACAATAACTAGGAGATAACTTGTAAGTGCACTTTAAGCACGTGGGATAGGTGATTGTCGAAGAGGCATCCTTTTCTTTAAAATGAATTCTCAAACTTATTATTACTGATTGAAGTTTCCCATGCCATTAATCTTATTTTGAAGAATCTGAACGGGGGTCGACATTAACGTTCTTTATTGAGGTTTATTCTCCCTTTGACGCATTATCAATGATGGTCTAATTTATCACAATTTCAAAACGGAAACGAGGTCAAAATTATAACACCGACCTGACATGGTTTTCTCCATAGATTGCAAGAAACATCGTCAGATACAGAATTGATAAAGCACACCGTTTTGTATTGACTGTGATCTATGATGTTCCTCTTTAGTGACTGAGTTAATAAAATGTACTATGCGGAGGAGCAGCACCACTAGACAACTGATGGTATCTAATAAATGTAGATAACAATAGGTGCCTGATTCACGTAGGCTTTCCGTCACCATTCCCGTACAAATCAAGCTTGTAATCAATCGTCATATTATCGGGTGACAATGACTCCTAGATCAGTGGACCAGTGGACAGTGATCGATGGCTCCTCGGCGACTTGTCCTACAAACGGGATCTATTCATAACCGAACACCAGTTAAGATATTATTGGTGTCATCACGACGCGTTTCTGTTCAGAATTGTTTTATTATAATGCTGTGGTTATAATTATATTGCGGAAAATGTTGAATCGTTCGACGAAATTGGAAAGAAAACTGGTCAAGCAAAGATTCTATTCCGAATGGTATAAATAGAAGACGTATCGCACCGCGCAAACCGAATCAGTAAGAAGGCTTATATGTAATCATAGCTCTGTTCAAATCCAATAGAAGCGGATGTGAATTAGCATGTTAATTGTGTTGTCGGGCGTCAGTTCTGTCAGAAAAAGTCACGTTTCCACATATTGCTATGTATAATGCCAGGTATTAAGCGTCCAACTGACGCTGATCCGCCATGCTCTATATGGTCTCGACAAGACCTTTGTCTTATCTTATTTACTCACACATTGGTGCCGATATGATATCTCATTGAAGTAATTTTTTTTATCAAATATCAGAAATGATAGTTTACTAAGGTTTTATGATTTCTGGTTAGTTATGTCCACAACGGACAGATAAGCAAAACATCCCTGACAATGTGTTCTGGTAATCTTGGGTTGAGTTGTTCTATCAAAATGAAAGTCATGGTTTCCATAAACGAAGCTCATCTAAAGCAGGGAAAACATATTGTTTTTGTATTCGTAGGCATTCATGACATTCATGTCGTATTTTCTATTTAAATGCGATTTTTGCTTCGTAAGATTAGGTGCTATTGTGGTGGGTTTTGAGGTTCATAAACAGGTAACATCGTATGACTACAATACATGACAGGTATCACAGATCGGGATGGGCGATGTAGGGATACCCACCAGACATGCCCAATCATTGCCTTATATGAACGTGACCGTAACCTAATTGTAACAGTTTCTTAAAGAAAAACTATTCTTTTTTAGTTTCTGAAATAACACATATCTTACTTTAACGAAACAATTGATGGCTTTAGTTTTTATTTTATGTACTTTTAATAGAGTGCACGTAGATGAGTCGGGTTCACTTGGAATTTTAAGCTTACTGGGTACATATGTATCCAAAAAGGAATACCTCATCAAATAAGTCAGTTTATGAAAATAACTGACAGCATTTTAAATATATTTTATTAGTTTGATAAGGTTTCAACCATTTTCTGATTAAAACATATTCCTTTGAACAATATTTTTCCATGTTGTGTATAGAAATATAACAGGGTATTTATGTTTTCGCATCATACATTTTTTCAGGGATATTTTTCATTCATTAAATTTTTCAATCGAGTGAATAAGTAACAAACATTTAAATGGAAGGCAGATACAAAAAAATCAAATTGATTAAAACGGTATACAGGTTGATTTAGCATATATACCATTCATTTGTATTGCAAAATAAAAAGCTGCATCATATATATGAAAAGTGTTCCATTGTGTGTACCTTTTACATTTGGGTACGCTCACGTGAGGTCATGATATACGGTTTTATATCACAAACTTTATGCTTTTATTGTACTTATTGAACAAGTTGACGGGTGAAATGAAACATTCTAATAACTATGTGTATTTGAGTGTGGTTGGCTCTTATTCTCTCATTCCGGTTAGGTATGACAAACTTTGTCGATGTAAGATAGTGTTTACAAGATTATAAGACTCATTCATGCCCAGGGGTGTAGGATAGGGAAATCCAACCCGAGGGTTTTTCAAATTTGGTAAAACCCGAGGCTGTGCCGAGGGTTTTTTCAAATTTGAAAATCCCGAGGGTGGAATTTCCCTATCCTTCACTCTCGGGCATGAAAGAGTATGTATATGTCCCTTTATTTAATACAAAGAAAGAAAAGAAAGTACGGTAATGTTAAAAAAACGTAATTCGGACTCAGAATCGATAACAAAGGGGCTATTTACATGGAGGCGATCGAAAAAATACAAGGAGAACTAAACCAAAGGGTCCCGGAAAGGTTAGCGTGTTCCGCTTCGTTGACGGCCCAAACCCTGTAGGCCTGTTTTAAAAATGTAAACGCATATAGCTCTAGGATTTCCTTGGTTATACAGCAATCAGGGTTCTTCTTACCAGCAGGAAATGTGAACTTTTTTTGCAGAAAAGGATTAAATCAATAGATATTTTGTCTGCCGACACAACGACAACATTATTATGCAGATCGCTTATTGTGGTTTGGACACAAGTTTATATGTATACAGAGTTGTATTTTGTTTTCATTTCGGATTTCAAGCTGTTGTTCTTAATCAAACGATGAAATCAGAAGATTTAATTCTCTCTGAAAGTGAATCCAATTCAGCATGCTTTCGTTTATCAGTGTATTGAACTATCGAATTCAAATTGATAGTAGGCTTTAGACTTTAGACCCTTCATGATAAATTCTCGTAGCATAGCATTATGACTTATATTTAGATGTGGATCTAGGTGTCCGGTTGGACCATATATGTTGTTGTTTGGAGGTGTAGAACAAAAACATACTAAAGGAGGAGTTATTCTTAAGTCACCACTATTTAGCTGTTGTAATTGGTGTAGAAATAACGAAATAATTGGGGTTCTTTTGTATAAAATATTAGGCGGTACGTTAGCATTGATAAATTAATGGTGTAGGATATTGCCGATTTTAGTGGCATCTATCTCTAATTTTCCAAAGGTCTGTGCTGCTGGACCGTCGAAAGTTTCCGTCCGAACAGGTTGAAAGATTCGAATTTGAACAACATCATCAAGACTTTGATGTAGTCCTCAGGCTAGTTCAAGCTCACCAAATAAATGAGGGACAGTTTTAGTGGAATCCTCTTGTAATGTTCGTACACATGTATGGTAGCTAACCGTAGCATTGTGCTCGGTATGCCTGTTGTAACGTGAAGTCTAGGACTACGTTTACGTCTTCTTTAAGGAAATGACAAAGATATTTCATTTTTATGACTGCATATTGAAAATGACAAAGCACGGTCATTACATCCAGTTGGTGCAGCACTTGTAAAAACTCTGATGTAACGCGGGCGTTTGTCATGACCTGCGTTACGTTCATGATACATATACATTTTTTGTAGCATGAAATAATCGGTTAAGACAGGTACAATGATACAGTGAAAGCAACGTCACTTGCGAAACGAGTTCGATAAAGATCAATTGTTAAGTCTCGGGTTCAGTGTTTTTTATAGTAGACTTTATATTTATTTGAGGATTTAGAAGCATGCTTTTAAAATATATGATGGCATTCAATGATGCGCGGTAGTGGAAATCTTTTAGAATATTTCTGAATTGAACCATGTTGCATA